GATTCTTTCATACGCCACGACTCGGTTCGCTGCACTGAGCGCGGGTGAACGACGGGAGTAGATGTGACTCTCTTAATAAGGGCCGTAACGCGGTTGACAACGCCTCGGGCTGAGGCGCGGGTGCCGCATATCTGATTCTTTCATACGCCACGACTCGGTTCGCTGCACTGAGCGCGGGTAAACGACGGGAGTAGATGTGACTCTCTTAATAACGGGTGTGACGCGATAGAGCGCGCCTCGGTGAGCGACGCGGATGCGGCATATACGGGATGTCCGCGAAGTTGGGGTTTTCCTTTTCAGAAACAACTACCCTTGAAATAACAAAGGTAATGTGTAGTGAAACGACAACGACCGAGTAAATAAAAAAATATTGGTGAAATTACTCTCTCTCCAGTTGACCAGAAGGGCTAAGTACGTCTCTGCCAGAAATCATACCGCTCCAACAGAAAATGAAATCAGCTGATGCGCTACCGAGCAGACGTAGGCTAACAAGGAAGGTAAAATGTTGCGTAAATAGTCTAGGTATTGCATCCCGTCCAATCGATTTGGGAGAATAAATTGTCCAATGAGCATACCGTTCACCATGCCAGCCCTATCATTCACCGAAAATGTTTGTTGAAAATGTGCCCGACGCGTGAACATAGATTCGTCTGTCACACGAATATGCACTTCAAAGAGTCCGGATTATTGTCATGTTGATGCAACAACTACTCACAAAACCGCACTCTTGCTGGAAAATCGTCAGGTTGAAGGGCTTGTACACGTTAGACGTGAAACGGATACAGCCCCTCTTCACGCAGCGCTTGCCACACTTTAGTTTTTGATACTTGCACTTCTCTAGCCACGTCTCTAGTGCTCGTTGTTTCGTTTACCTCTACGCGCGTGACCGTGACCGTCGGTTGCAGGTTGCATACCGACCTGACACACTGACCCCGACCACCCAGTTCTGTCGTCGGGTTGTTCTAGTACCAGTCGGGGATGTCGCGGCTACAGGACGGTTTTCAGATACTTTTGATGTTGCAGCAACCGCGGGTTCTCCTAGTCTCCTAGTCAAGGTTCCAACTAGCGGGTGCCAACTGGGACCTTGGTCTAGGGTACCTGGTTCTGCGGTTGCGATGCCTCTCGTCCGGATCGTAGTTCATGAGGAATCGTAGCTGCTCGTTAGGGTGGTCCTGAGCTTTCTGGAAGGTCTTCTCCGCTTTTTTCCTCATGTACTCGTGAATGGTGTCCCAATGCAGGTCTCTACGCAAGGTTGAGTTTCTTACGTAGGATGGATCGGTTGGTGGCGATCCGGAGTAGCTTCATCTCTAGAGCAGCGTACCCCCAGACCGCGGAGGCGTAAGCGAGCTGAGGTCTGGCGATGGCCTTGATCAGCCGTAGCTTGGTCGCTAGCGGCATCCGGCTGTGTCTACCCAGTATTGGGTAGAGTTGAGCCATGGCTGCTCTGGTCTTTGCGATGACAGCTTCTATGTGTGGTCTTTCCAGGTGAGGGACTTGTCAAATACGATCCCCAGATATTTGACCTTGTCGCTCCACTGGATATCGTCGTCGATGATGGATGCTTCGAGAGGTCTTGCAATCCTTCTTCGTTGGATGAAGATTGCCTGCGTCTTCTGGACGTTGATACGGATTTTCCATTTCACGCAACAGTCCAGTTCATCCTGTAGTCTGCTACGGATAATCTCGGGTCGTCGATGCTTAGCGGCGATAGCAATGTCATCTGCATATAGGGCCAGCATTGTGTGAGCTGTCTTCGGTACGTCATGAGTATAGATGTTGTAGAGCAGGGGGGACTGAGGCTGACTCCTGGAGCACGCCTGCTTCCAGCTGTCGTCGTGTTGAATGGCATGTACCAATCCTCACCGCGAACCGTCTTTGTGTTAGATAGCTCTGGATCAGTTGGCACATGTTTGCATCGGCGGTCCTGGCTGCTCTAGGACTCGTTCTTGGTGGCGGCAGCTGGCATCTTTGGCTGCCTTGGCGTCTCGTCTTCGGAGGAGGAAATTCGCACCCGCTTTTTTTTTTCCGTCTGGTGGCGACACTGAAATCGGTGTCGTCGTTGCTTGCTGTCTCTGTCGTGGTCCTATCCTCTTCGGTCCGTTGGGTGTCCTCTTCTTGAGCGTCCATCTCGTCCGACGTAGCCTGGTGGTCCTCTGCCTCGCCTTCTTCGGTCTTCTTTGCGGCCTTCTTCTTGGCCCTGCGGAGCTTCCCGTTCAGGTCCTCGATCTCCTGTTGTGCTTGCAAGAAGGCTTCTTGCAGGTTTCGCATCTGCTCTGCCAGCATGGCGACAGCATCTTTCTTCTCTTTCAGCTGGTTAGCCAGCTTCTCAATTTTCGCCATCGTAAATGACAAACAACCAATCTATCGCAATAAGATTGCTCAATATGTCCGGGTGTGTCGCAGTCGTGCAAGTATACACTCGCAACGGCTGCTAGCTCGGAACTGATGTTGCGCGCACACACACCACACACCCTCCTACCCTGTGCGGTCCCTCCACCACCCCTGTTCCAGGCAACCTCATACCCTTGAGGAGTGGGGGGAAGAGCAATGTGTGAGACAGAGAGAGAGGGGGGGGGGGAGAGGGAGAGTTAACGTGATTGTCGTTATAGACACTAGCGGCATTGTATGTAAAATTGCGTTGGAATAAAGTTCTATCATTCCGACAGTACCTCTAGAAAGTAACTATCCCTCCAAGGTATCTCCATATAGTCGAGCTCCACAACCCATCGATGCTAGGTAAACATAAAATGTTACGGTAAGTAAGAATTGGTATTATTTGTTGCATTTTCCATGTCACGATCCGTATCGTAGAAACGTAACATCACACTGTATCATGCGGTTATTGGGCTGTTGTTACTTGAATCCCAAACAGCATGAAGGAATATCGGCAAAATATTACGTGATTTTTTTTTTTGTTTCCTGATCCGATGATCTCTATTTTTTCTTCAACAAACGAATTGTGTGGCCCTGAGAAGGGCCGATTTCTAGTTTTGACGTTATTTTCTTATTATTATTATTATTTAGGCTTTCTTCTCTGTCTTTTTCGGCAATAGGACAGCCTGAATATTCGGAAGAACTCCGCCTTGGGCGATGGTTACGCCGGAAAGTAACTTGTTTAATTCTTCATCATTCCTGATTGCTAACTGCAGATGACGTGGAATGATCCTGGTTTTTTTATTGTCGCGAGCAGCGTTGCCGGCCAACTCTAACACTTCGGCTGCCAAGTACTCCATAACGGCGGCTAGGTACACAGGAGCTCCGGCACCGACGCGTTCGGCATAGTTTCCTTTACGCAATAATCTGTGTATACGACCTACAGGGAATTGCAAACCGGCCCTACTAGACCTGGATTTTGCCTTTCCTTTCACTTTTCCGCCTTTTCCTCGTCCGGACATGTTTATTTGTTTATTATTTTCTTTTTTGACTTGCGAATCGACGACTACAATCTGCTGTCGTTGACCGAATTAATAGAATAGAATGGCAATGTCTTTAGGTACGAGTATATTTATATAACTACTCCGACCAATCACCGTTTTCGTTTGTCGGTCACCCGTAAGGGGCGGAGTCTATGTCGGTAACGTCGTGGCTGTTAAAGCTCGCCGTTTATCCGCACACCTTTCCATTATAGATCACGATATTGTGTCAGTAAAGATCGTACTTTTTGTGTAAATCGAAACGCGATGCCACCCAAAACTAGCGGTAAAGCAGCTAAAAAGGCCGGTAAGGCTCAAAAAAATATTTCCAAGTCTGATAAGAAAAAGAAACGCAGGAGGAAGGAAAGCTACGCAATTTACATCTACAAAGTGCTGAAGCAGGTACATCCAGATACCGGTATTTCCAGCAAAGCGATGAGCATCATGAACAGCTTCGTCAACGATATTTTCGAACGTATCGCAGCGGAAGCATCCCGATTGGCACATTACAACAAACGTGCCACGATAACTAGCAGAGAAATTCAAACAGCCGTTCGACTATTGCTACCAGGAGAATTGGCCAAGCACGCCGTCAGCGAAGGTACCAAAGCCGTAACCAAGTACACCAGTTCGAAGTAATATGTAACTACGACGACAACAACAACATCAACAACAACTTACAACATAAAAACGGTTCTTTTCAGAACCACTAAAGTTATCAAGTAAAGATAATGATATCACCGTACGCGCAACATATATATTATTGGTACTTGAATACCAGATGATTATTCGTGATTTACATACACCACTAAAGCAATAACGTCTGATATAAGACCCGACCGGATTATTTAATGGTAAACGAAAGCGTAAAAAAAGGGGATATCCTTACGACGCAATCGACTGTTTAACGTTCATTCGTTTAATTAAACACAATACATACTTATTTATACCCTTAAAAGCAAATATCGATGTTGACGACGCCTAACATTACCACTTGCTTATAAATACCTAATCGTAAACGAATAATACTCGAATTTAATAAAAAAAAAAAAAAAAAAAAAAACATCAACGCACGTACGAGCCGCAGTTGTACATGTATATTTCGATACAAAATTGCTAATTCGTAAATATTCTGTATCCTTTTTATAGTAATAGTGGTGGCCCTGAAAAGGGCCATTTTCAATCCGCGGGGACGTATAGCATCCTCTCGCATAAATATAACGTCTCGAACCGACGTAGCCGTAATCTACGACGTTGCAACACGTCTAAATTTTTTTTTTTATTTCTTCTTTTTGGGTGAAGCGGCCTTCCTTTTTGGCGATGTTGCAGCCTTCGCCGTTTTCGGTTTTGGTGCTTTTGGCTTCTTGGTCGGAGCTCCCTTGCTGGATTTCTTCGCCTTCGAAGGAGATTTTTTTGCAGCCGCTGCAGAAGGTGCAGCAGAAGAAGCTTTAGCCGACGTCGCCGATTTCCCACTTTTCTTTGTCTTAGCTGGAGAAGCTTTCTTCTCGGCCGCACCACCGGCCACCGCCGGTTTCTTAGCCTTCGGAGATGCCTTCTTCGCAGATTTCGCACCGCTAGCTCTCTTAGCTACGGTTCCGCTCTTCTTTGAGCCGGTCGCGGATTTCTTCTTCTTTTCGCCAACCTTTGCGGCTGACGATGATGAAGTTTTCGACGCTCCGCCAGCCGATGACGAAGCTAGCTTGAACGATCCGGAAGCTCCTTTGCCTTTCGTCTGTACTAAAGCTCCAGACGCGACGGACGATTTTAAGTACCTCTTGATGAAAGGCGCAACTTTCTCAGCGTCTACTTTGTAATTAGCGGCTATGTATTTCTTGATAGCTTGCAGAGACGACCCGCCACGCTCTTTTAATCCTTTAATTGCGTTGATGACCATTTCGCTAGTAGGAGGATGAGACGGCTTCGCCCTCGGATTCTTCGGTTTTTTCTCCTTTTTCGCAGACGACTGCGACGTCGGCGACGCAGAATTCGCGGTAGCCGTAGCCGACGCGGCGTAATTCTGGTTTTCCGTATCTGCCATGTTTACGAGTCGTGAAGAGGAGACAGATTATTGTATACGCGCGATCTTTTGCAATCACTGATCGACGATCTCGCTAAGAGAACGAATGTCGAATGAATGTGAGAGGTAAATTCAGCGTCGTGACCCAAGTCATTTCGGTCGGACCGAACATTGAACGCTCCGACTTTGCAGCGAAACCGATTTCGACGGCTTCAATTCTGCCAAGCCTGCGGTCGTATCTGTTGGTTTTTTGAGTCGCTGATATAATTGCATACGAGCAACAGCTAAAACCTGAACGAATATGAAATCTGCATAATTTGAAATACACATTTAACTTCGCGACTTGATCACGTACGCTACGTACACGATAAAATTATAAGGTGAAACGTGCAAGGTATCCGCTTTGGACCTAATCGTCCGGCTTTTTGATCTAATTTATATTATACGAATACGTTATATAATTAGATATTTCATGAAATTAACAATCTACGACTATTCGTAATACAATTATACTGTCGGTATACGGCTAATGGATAAGGTATTTTAGATAATCGCAATTATACGGAGGTATGTCTGGCGTACATCCGAACGTGCACAGTCGCGAAATATATCGCGATAATTTTAACATTACTCCTGTAATATGACAAAATAGATAATAATATGAGACATCAATCTATTATTCGTAATAAATAAGCCAGAGTAGAAAAATATTATATATAATATACGAGCGATCGAGTTATAAATTCATCTCTTACTACATATTAATTATTAGACGTACGCATTACTGACTTTTGATCTACGTGAAAGTACCTAATGTTACGTATTACACGCTAACAGCCTGCCTAAACGCCTAAGCAATATATACGGCAAAATATCTATATTATGTCGAATTATCTACATTATAATCACATGCTACTTATAAGTTATTTTACTTCCATACACATACATACAATTCGTACGTTATTAGAATAATATCAATGTAACGGTTTACTACAAAGCACCACAATCCTTCGATATAGGATAACGGGTAATAACTAGCGATTATCGTATAACCATTTAGCGCTATTTTGCATACACGATAATAGTGTCGAAATTGCACGCGTACAAACAACAATCTGATATACTTAACATAATACACGATCCCCTTTTTCTGAACATACTATATGATGGTTCTGACACACACACACACACACCCTCCTACCCTGTGCGGTCCCTCCACCACCCCTGTTCCAGGCAACCTCAAACCCTTGAGGAGTGGGGGGAAGAGCAATCTGCTCCTCCCCCCACTCCCGCCCAAAGGCCTGGAGTGGCGCTGCGTGGTTCAGGCCGCTTGCGCATTCCCCGAGTGTGTGCTGCCGAACGAGCTATCCCCCCTTCCCCAATTTTGCCCCTTTTTCCCGAAATTTGACTCGATCGCGCACGCGTCGCGGAAGCGCGTGGTGGACGTTTCTTCCAACTGTCGGTTCTCGACTTTATGGACGGCCTCTTTTCTTGGGGGTCCTGCGCTGGGGGCTTTTGACCTAAGCCCCTCCTAAAGGTTGGTGAGCCTTCGCTCTTTCCTCGTCGACTGGAGTCAGTCAGTCGTCGTCAGTCAGTCATTTTTTGTAAGTCATTCGTCTCCTGAGGTTAGCCCCGAGTCCGTGCTTGACTCTGGCCACCTCAATCGACAGGCTTCTTTTTGTCCACCCGTTGTACACGGGCTGTTCTTTCCCCTCTTGGGTGTACAACTATTGTCGGTCTTCTCCCCTTTTCTTTGGCCTCATCAGCTGCTAGGGCCAAATATCTTCTTGTTGCAGCTGGCTTTTCGGTCTTTTGTGACGCCTTATTGTTCTTGGGTCGTAATCCAAGGCGTCTCTAATCAGCACGTTTCGATGTCTTTCGTTCTTTTCAAAGAACTTTCGGGCCCTCTCTTTCATCTGGATTACGACCGGTACCTGTCGTAGTTCGTCATATAGCACTCTGTTAGGTACATACCACGGTGCGTCCACCGCTTCACGGAGTGCCATGTTTTGTTGAGCTTGGAGCCTCTTCTTCATCGTTTTGGAAACGTAGCCCCAAGCTACTGCTGCGTAAGTCATGATTTGTAGCAGCACCATCTGAATCATGATGGTCTTATTCTTTAGTGACACTTTGCTTCTTCTGCCCGTTAAGGGTCTTAGTTTGGAGCGTGCCATCTTCACTTTCTGCACCCGGTCTTCGACATGGTTCTTCCAAGTGAGTTTCTGGTCCATCTTGACTCCAAGGTATGTGCTGGAGTCTTTCCAGTCGACCTCAACCTCTTCATCTCTTCTCCAGCCTCTCTCCATTCTGGTGGTCGTCATCTTTATTTTGGTCTGAGGTAATCTTCGATTTCTTCGGAACAGTACCGCTTCGGTCTTCTCGGGGTTGAGGCGGATCTTCCACTTGATGCACCATTCCTCTAGGTTGGTGGTCGCTCGTTGCAGATATTCCGTAACCATGCGGGGTCTCGTACTTTCTGCCGCATATGCTGTATCGTCCGCATACACATACAGTTGCGTTTGAGGAGTCTTCGGGATGTCCGAGCTGTAGATTGCATACAGCAGGGGTGATAGAACCGCTCCCTGCGGTACTCCTGCCTCCACAGTCCTCGTCGTCGAAGTTGTTTTACCGATCCTAATTCGGAATTTTCGGTGCTTCAAGTAGGACTTCACCAGTTGGATCATCCCATTTGAGTATCCGAGGTCTACCATCTTGTAGATCAGTCCGTCATGCCAAACAGTGTCGAACGCCTTTGCGGCATCCATGAACACAGCTCCCACGGCCCGCCGAGTCTGGAACGATTTCGTTGCCATCTCGACCAGCCTTAGGACCTGGTGCTCTGCTGAATGCTCGCATCGGAATCCGAACTGTTCGTCTGGAACTACTCGGAGTTCTTCGGTTTCGTTCTTCAGTCTTCGTTCGATTACCCTTTCCGCAATCTTGCTCAATGCCGTCAACAGGCTTATGGGTCTGTAGTTTTGGGGGAACCTTGGGTCTTTCCCAGGTTTAGGTATGTTGATCACCTCGGCTACTTTCCAGTGATCTGGAAAGTACCGGTGTCTCAGTATGGCGTTGACAATGTTGGTAATTGCCATTATCGTTTTCCTCGGGAGTCTCTTCAGGACTCTGTTCCCAATTTCGTCTACACCCGGTGCTTTCTTCACCTTGAGTCTTTCGATGATTTCCCTTACCTCGCCTGGAGAGGTCATGTCTTCGATGGCTCTTCCTCCTCTGACAGCTCTCCTCGATCTTCTCATCACCTCGTCGATGAAGTCTTCGTCTTCATCGGGGTGAGTATTGAGAGTACACTGTCTCTGAAGGTTGTCAGCAAAAGCTTCTGCCTTCTCTTCGGTTGTGTACACCATCCCCTGTTCGCTGTGTATTGGGGGGATGGGCTGTCTTCTGTTTCTGAGGATTTTGGCCAAGTTCCACATTCCTGGGTCAGCTGGAGATAGTTCGTCGAGTTTCTTATCCCAGGTGCTCTGATGGTGCTGCTTCAAGGCGTCTCGTGCCTGTCTCGTAAGTCTGTTTGCCACCATGATGTCCGTGGGGCTTCTGGTCTCCTGGGCTACTCTTCGGGCTCTGTTTCTTTCGGTGATCTTGCGATTTACCTCGTCAGGTAGGTCCCTGAACCTGTTTGGTTGCGTTATGTCTTCCACGGTGGTTGCGGCTTCTAACGCAGCCTTAATCTTCCTTTCTAGGTCCGTGACCGCTTCTTCTATGCCTTCGGGGCTTTCGATCTGTAGTAGTGGTCCTTGTGAATAGTGCAGTCTGGTTCTAAACCGCTGCCAATTCACTCTCTTCACTGTTCTTTGTTCCACAGGTGTTATCCCATCTCCCATACAGAGAAAGATGGGGTTGTGGTCTGAGCTTCCCTCTTGCATGGCGCCGATGGTGGTGCGCATGTCGATTTCCTTCAGAATCGCCATATCTATGACGTCTGGTCTACCTCCGTTGCTGGGGTATATTGTAGGTTCGTCCGGACCTATCATGGTATATCCAGGTTCATCCATTAGTCTTTCCAGAACAGCGCCGTGACTGTTTCTGTTTCTTGAGCCCCAAATGGTGGACTTCGCGTTTAGATCACCTACGATCACGGTACTGTTTCCCAGTGCAGTGATACAGGTGACATCTTCCAGATATATCGTCGATGTGGGTGGTACGTACATCGAAACGATGTTCAGAGGGCCGTGGTCTGTTGTGCGTACCGTCACTCCTACGGCCTCTGCTGATCTTAGTTCTGGCAGTCCCAGTTCCCAGTGGGTAATGCTGGTCTTGACAGCAAGTAGCACCCCACCTCCGGTTCTGTTCCGGTCCTTTCTGTATGTCGTGTATCCCTGTATCGTCCAGTGTGGGATTTCCCCAGAGAGCCACGTTTCTTGTAATGCCATTACATCATAGTTTCCTTTTGTTAGGACTTCGCCTATCTCATATTTCTTGTTGGAGACGCTGTGGACGTTCCAACTCAATATCTTCAGGCCCCTATTTGCAATGGTTATTGGAGTGCCCATTTGGAGTTTTGGTCAGTGCTTCCCTCTGTTTAGGCGTATTTTTGCTCCAGATGAGCGAAATACGCCTTTTTGGCCGCCGGGTTCTTCATCACCAGTGACATCATTTGTGATGCGTGCTTGGTGGCGAAATCGGTCAACTCCTCGACGTCGCTGTCTTTGGCACTGCTGGCCTGAGCGACTGGGGCCACTTTAGTTGCCCCAGCTGTCGTCGACGCATAACTACGGCCCTCCTGGACTGGACTAGGCCTAGTTATGGTTTTGGGTGCTGGCGCTGCTCGCGCTGTGCCCCTTGGTGCCGTCTTTTTGTCCCTTGGCCCTGCACTCGGCCTCTTTGGGCATCCTCCAAAGTTTGCGGGATGCTCTCCC